TTCCAGATCTTAGTAGAAAGGAAGTCTGTGGAGCCCGAGCTGCATAATTTGGAAGCTAGAGATTTGACAGAAAAATACATCAGGATTCCATTTCCAGCACCAATTATCTTCCAAGCAAAGGTCTATCTTCTGCTTCTGAAGAAGATCCATCAGCTCCATAACCTCTTCCAACTCCCAGTCAAATAAGTTCTTCCTAAAGAGGGGGGGTCCAAATAAAAGAGTCTCCTGAAAAACAATAACTCTCAGCCACTGAGGAATCTTGATTACACTGAAAGAGGAGAGGAAAGGAATCAGCCAGTGGGCCATCCATACACCAAGGGTCCTTCCAAAATTTAATTCTATCCCCTTTGCCAATCTTGACTGAAATTCCTTCCAAGAAAGTAGAGAAATTCTTCATGATGCCTTTCCAAAGGGAGTTACCCCAACTTGGAGGAGGATCCCTAGATTTCCAGTTGCCCCACTCCACCCCATATTTTCCAGATATAAGAGATCTCCACCAAGCATTCCTTTCAGAAGAAAACCTCCGAATCCACTTACTTAGAAGGGCTGAATTAAAACTCTTCAATTTCCTTATTCCTAAATCTTAATCCACCTTCTGCCTTAGAAAGACACATTTGGTCCCACTTGACTAAGTGGATTTGTTTTCCTCTTCCCAACCCCTCCAAAGAAAGTTTTTCTGAAGCTGCTCCAATCTTTTCGCTACTTTGTTTGGGATAGGGAAAAGAGAAAGGGTACTTTTTATCAAACTAACCCTGCCCCCAAAAGAGAGGTATCTTGCCTTCCAGGAACTTAATTTTCTCTCCAATCTTTCAATGATTGGGTCCCACACCGAGGAAGAAACTGAAATTGCAATTCCTATGAGAGGATACAGGACCACCTATGAGATGTATGAGTATCTTGAGAAAAGTATATCAGCAATCAAACACCTCAAGACAGTACCAGATAGAGGTTGACATCTTCTCATATTATCAAGGAGAAAAGAAGGTCTAGGAATATTATGTTGGGTTTATTAACCTTTGGATAAAGTATGAGCTTGTACACATGGGAAAGGATCCATCGGAATGTTGCGTGAAGTATATGAATACTTTAACAGAAGGAAGATAATGCACTTCCTAATGCACCTGAAGCCTGAATTCGAAGTTGTCAGATCTAATATCCTAAGCCGAGAAACACTTCCTGACTTGGATACTATTCTTGGGGAAATTCTGAGAGTTGAAACCAGATTTGCTACACAGACTACTCTGGATGGGAGAAAAGAGTCCAACATTGATACGGTTTTCCCGGCAACAAAACCGAAGGGGAAGAAGGACTTCTCTAAAGCACAGTGTTACAAGTGTAAGGAGTTTGGGCATGTTGTCTCCCATTGCAAGAAAAAAGAATACATGCACCTACTATAAGCAGTTCGGCCATATTATTACTAAATGCCCTACTCGGCCTCAGAAAAGCAGTAGATCAAATCAGAAGAAAGGAAGTTACAAGGCTTATCAGACTATTGTAGATGGATCAGATGCAACGTCCTCCATTACTTATGTGGTTGGCCAAAATGAAACTTCAGGTGGCATGTCTGAAGAACGGATTCGACAGCTCATGTCCTCGGTCATCTCTTCAGCCTTCTCTGCTATTGGTCTACCTGGTAAGTCACCGACCTATTGTCCCTCACCGAATCATCTCTGGTATATTGACTCAAGAAACTCTAACCATATGACAGGGGCCACACTTGGTCAGTGTCCCAAACCCCATCTTCCCAATAAACACATAGTCAATGCTAATGGTAAGAAATTGGATATACTTGGATGTGATGTTTGTATTTTTCTACTTCTAAGTCATCTCCATTTCATTTATCCAAAACTTTATTTGTACCCAAGCTCACCACCAATTTTATTTTAGTTGGCCAACTTGTAGAGGAAGGTAACACTGTCTCATTCACTTCTGATGGTTGTTTGATACAGGACCAGCAAACTAGGGAGGTGAAGGGAAAGTGGCGTAGACTGAGACGACTATTTGCTTTAGAGTTTGAGAAGAATAAGGCTGCACCAGTTTCTACTTCCGGTTTGATTTCTACTACCTCTAGTTTAGAGTCCTTTAATTGTAATAATGATTGGGATTTGTGGCATAAACGCCTTGGCCGTCTGTTTTCTAAGAAACTTGATCAGTTATTTGCTTTTGGTAGTTTAGCTGTTTTTGCTACTTCCTTTAAGAATGTTAATAAAAATTGCATTGCTTGTGGTTTATGTAAGAGTCATATTTTACCTTTTCCTTCTCACTCTGAGCATGCTACAGTCCCTTTTTACTTGATACATAGTGATGTTTGGTCGTCTCCTGTTGCTTCACGGCTAGGGTATACGTATTTTGTAACCTTTATTGATGATTGCACTCATTTCACTTGGCTTTATTTTCTTCGAAAAAAATCTGAAGTTTACTCTATATTTAAACACTTATGCTTATGTTACTACCCAATTTGATGCTCGGATATGTGTGCTAAGATCGGATTCAGGGGGAGAGTATTTTGATGGGGATTTCCAAAACTTACTTAAAACAACATGGAATTCAATCCCATAAATCCTATCCAGGCACCCCACAACAAAATGGGGTAGCAAAAAGAAAGAACGAACATATTTTGAGTGTAGTTAGAACACTTCTACAAGACTCCCATGTACCCTCTTGGTTTTGGGTGGAGGCGGCCAGCACTGCTGTGTATCTCATAAATCGTCTTCCTTCGTCTATCTTAAATAATTATTCTCCTTTCCAATCTTTCTTCCACAAACCCCCAGACCTCTCTATGCTCAGGGTTTTTGGTTGTACTTCTTCTGTTCACCTTCCACCACATGAACACACAAAGCTAACTACACAAGCGGCTCTGTGTGCCTTTATGAGGTACAATTCTGAACATAAGGGGTTCCTTTGTTATGATCCTTCGGCTCAACTCATTCGGATCTCTCGTAATGTAGTTTTACTTGAAAGTGTGTCATATTTTGAACATATTGTAAAATTCCCAACTCCTTCCATTTCCTTGTTGCACAGTTTTGACTCTACAAGTACCTCAAGCATACCAATGCCACCTCCGTAGCAACTTCAAACCTACTTCAGGAAGCAACGGTCTTCTTTTTATTATTAAAAACCCAGAATCCCTTTTCTTCCTTTTGCAGCCACTCCACTACTAGCTTTGAATCACCTTCTATAAATCAACTTCCTTACGTTCATGTCCTTTTCCTTTTGTAGTCCCTCCATGACAGCCCTAACCTCATCCCTTAAGGAGTTGCCTACTCCAATTGGGCCTGAAAATAGTCCAATAATTCTGCCTTCACAATTTCTAAACACCCCTCCAATACCATAGGGACCGAGGTTACCTACACTACTCCCATCAAAGTTCAGCTTGATGTAGTCACTCCTTAATGGAGACCAAATAGGGCATGCATTTCTGATACTTTAAACCTTGGCCTCAACAGAAAACTTGGAAATCATTTACTACTTCTTGCACTTCCAAGAAATGAAAGAATCACCAAGGAAACACACCAAACAATAGTGGATAGTCTGGTGTTCAAACATCCTGCCCATTCAGCATCAACATAGGCAGTCAACTGAGTAGATGAGGAAGATGAAAAGAAAAGTCCATGAGATAAGGTACCTCTGACATATCTGATGATCCAAAGAATTGCTAAAAAATGAGGCTGTTGAGGAGCAGATACAAGTTGACCAACTATTTGTACTGCAATAGGATATGTCTGGTCAAGTCATAGTGAGATAAATAAGGCTGCCAACAAGTTAACAATATAAGGTGGCATCATGTAGTAGTTGTCCATCATCCTTACTAAGCTTCAAGTTGAGCTCCAAGGGCGTACCAACTAGCTTAAGATTCAGTAAGATTGGCCATCTGGGCCAAATCACTAGCATATTTCTACTTAATGACAAAGTATCCCTGAGGACTCCAAGTAACTTCAAGGCTAAGGAAGTAGTTCACTGGACCAAGATTGTTCATCTTGAAGGATTGGCTAAGAAGCTGCTTCAAATGACTAATCCAAGGATATCATCAAGTATCAACATACACCAATAGAAGAGTCAAGCCCTGAGGACTCTTAAGAGTTAAGAGGAATAATCTAATGACCTCTGTTGAAATTCAGCTTCAATTTCATGTACATTGTCCATTGCTTAGCAGCAGTAATGGCAAGAATAAGTCTTACAATAGTCATCTTTTAAACCGGGGAAAAAGTCTCCTCTACCATGTTCCTGTTTATACTTTATACCCTTAAGCAACAGGTCGGACTTTATATCTATTTGAACTGCCATCAGAATTCAGCTTGACAAAGTATACCCAACAACTACCAATGATGGAAGCATCTTGTGGTGGGGGAACAAGGTCCCAAGTATCATTCTCCAATAAAGCCTAAATCTCAAAGTCCATGGCATCTTTCAAATGCTTGACTGCTAAAGCCTATTAGTAAGATTTTGGAATATCAGAAGAAGACAATATAGCAGAAAAGGAGCTATGAGTTGCAAAGAATCCATAGCAATCAGGAAGACGGGACACTTAGGTATAACAACATAAAGGAGTAGGGGTAGGTGGTGAAGGGGTGGTATCACATTGTATTGCATATCATTAGTCTATAAGTAGATTATCCCCAAGAATTCACACTAGGTACAATTGTTTTCCTGCCTCACCTATTTCTTTATATCATGTCATAATTACACTCATATGCTGGTGCACGTACAACTCATCACTCATCTATATATTTAATTTTTTATATCAACATTTAGTTCCCAAATGAAAAGGCAATGCTCACACCGAATTCCTATGAATATGATACATTTCAACTAGGTTTTAAATATATGAGTTCTACTGGAAATCTAAATAATCTAGTGCAGACCGTAATCATATATTTCAAATGATCTTACTGACACTTTCCATTCAGTAGTCATGGATCAACCAAAACCTTAAGGAATAAGCAAACAAGCATGCAGTCATGAAGAACTCATAACCTTACATAAAGCCAAAATAGTCATACCTATTAAAAGAAGCAGAGGCAAAACCAAACCCCCAAGGAAATTCCCCATGACGAGCTTGCCTTGCCAATACAATCACTTGACTGTCATCAACATTGTCACGAATTACAGTGCATTCGGTGTTGGGTCTGTTCATGTATGATTAAAGAAACAAAGAAACAGAAACCCATTTTTGGAAACAAACATCCCTTCCTCGGAGCTACGAGTAAAGAAAAGAACTCAAGACTGGAATTTCTCCCTAAAAGCTCTGCTTCTCAATAAGGACTTGTATGCCTTTCCAGTGTCCAGAGAAAAAAAAGAATAACCAGAAATTTGTTGATGGGTTTTTAAATTAAATTACAAGACTAAAACCCATTTCGAAAGAACACAAATTTTCTTCGTAACTACCAATTTGAACTAAACAACGCGAACTAGAATAAGAGAGGTTTTCGCGCTCTGTATACGCACGCATAAAGAACTCCGAGGCACGGCCACAGCTGGATTTAGAGGGAATGATGGGGTACTAAAAAGGGAAGTAGAATTGGGGTTTTGTATAAATTAATGAGGTAACGTATAAGAGAACTTAGAACTTAGAACTTAGCATCGAAACAGAAAAATGTTGACAAAATAAGAACTCGGAGTTCGAGATTTGGAAAACCGTATCTTACGGTATCTTACGCTAAAACTATTGGGGCGTAATGTGGTGCAGTTGTTAAGGGCTTAAAGCAGATTCTTTCCATATCGAGCTTGCTGGCAAACTATTCATGTTTTGACACGTATGCCCTCGATTAGTATTGTATTTTCTACTTTAGTTTACTTGCATTTACATCCTTTTTTTTTTTTTTACTTCCCATGCTTTGTGGAGAATATGCTTCAGATTCCTTCCCTTGAAGTTGAAGCATCCAGCGCTGGAGAGTACGTCAATCTACAAATTCAGCGTGGAGGTGATCTGAGCAATACCCGGTACCTGCGGTTGCCGGATGATTGAACTGGTTAATCCATCACAAAGCCAGGATTGCTGATCTTTTTCACAATTCATGGGCCGGGCCAGGCTGGGTTCAGGCCGGCCTGTGAATCATACTCAAAAATTGGACGTCCAGTCCAATTATCTCAGATTAAGATGATGTATTTATATAATCGGATTGTATTTGGATTTGCAAAATGCATCTAATCGGATCAGATATGGATTTGATTCCATTCGATCTGATTAAAATCTGAATCTAATTATATTATAATATTTATCGATTTTAATATATAAATTTTATATAATTATTATTAAAATTATAAAAATATATATTTTATATGCTATATTATATATGAATTTATATATAGTAATTCAATGCGAAGTTGGATTAAATCTAAATCTGATCTAAGTCCAATAGGGTTTGGATTCAAATCCGAAGTCTTCAAATCTAATCGGATTAGAACGTACATTTTCAATAATCGGATCGAATTCAAGCTTTGTTGAATCTAATCTGATTGCAGCCCTACTCTAGATCAACAAAACATATTCAGGCCTGAAGAATACTGAATATTTTATATTTATATTAAATGACCTCAAAACCCAAGAAATACTAAAAAGTTTCACTACAACTTGAGAAAATAGAAAATTAACAAAGAAAAATATATTATATATTTTTATTAGATAAAAATATATCTTTTGTTATATAAAATATATTTTTTATTATATAAAATATTATCAATTTAGGTTCAGGCTCGGTCCGACCCATGGGGCTTTCCGAACCATGAACAAGTGTACAATGATCCAACCAATTAAAATTCTAAACCATTTAACCCAAACAACATGTCATGAGTTCAATATTGACTCTCTTTTTTTCAATTTTTTGGTTATTTTGACCATTTCCATCATTAATAAAAATAAGTATTCTTTATCATGTTCATTTTTGTTTAATATGATGAATAATATAATATTAGGGATATGTCCAAGTTTTTACAAAATTTGAGTATTTTTTGAAATTTTTTATATTTTCTCTCTTTATATTTGTTATTTAATTATGACATTACGGGTCACCCATCTCATGTAGATGGTTGAACCTCTAACTTGTCACCTAAACAAAAAAGTGGTTCCATTTCTAGGTCAACTCATTGTTCATTACTAGTCACAATTTCGGGTCTAATTTTCCTAGAACCAATGATTTGGTTAAAACTATTTGACCTGAGTGGTTGAACTATTGATCCATTGAACTTGATCATAGGGTCATGAGTTACATACTACATGTGTATATAAACTTCTAGAGGCCATAATTTTGTGCTTGATTGTGTGTAATAATGCCTTGACCTGCTATTTTTGAAAAAAAAAAAAATTTTGGCATCAAGCCTCAGTTTTAGTATTTTTATAAATAACAAATGTTAAAGTAAAATAATACATATACCCCGTTTGACCTGGATGGTCAAACCAGCAACCCACGATCCAAAGGCAAAAAAGAGTTCAACCTATGGCTTGATTTTTAAAGCATTGGTCAAAAGGGTGCAACCAAGGTTCAAAATTTTGATACATATCATATCGTGAGCTTTTCGATACACCCCTATAGGGGTGTTTTAGGGTCTAACCTTATTTAGGGGATAGACGGGCCCTTAAACCGATCACTCTAAACAATGTTGGAAAAAAACAAAAACAAAAAAAGGATGCAAGCCTCAATATAGTCAGATACAACCCTAGTGACGTATCAAACTGCATTGTTTAGATGTGGCTTTTGTTAGTTTGTAGACCCAACCCGAAGCAGTGTAAAATGTTAGCTCAGGTCAACCCAAGCCTGATCAAGTGATCATGCAGTTTGTTCTCATTTTAGGTTCACTATCCCGGTTATGTTCTAGGAATAGGAGTATAGAACATTAAGTTGAAAGATATATTGGTCATTGTAATGGTTTCACTTCCAAAGCATGTCCGTCGCTAGCTTAAGAATTCAGGTTTTTTGGGTAAATTACACAACCTCCCTGTATTATGAGTCTATGGCAAAGATCCCCTGTACTTTTTTTGCAACAAGCACCTTGCACCCCTAAACTTTTACATTGCAACAAGGACCTTTCGACTGTTAAGCTAGAAAAAATGTTAAATTACCAAAATACCCCACTAACATTTCTCCATTTTTCCTTTTTTGGGGGAAATTCCCGATTAGTACCCTATACTTTGGGCCTAGTGCCACTTTGGTCCCCAAACTTTAAAATGCGACAATTAAGTACCCGAACTTTCAAAGCGTGACAATCCAGTGCCTATCTTTAACTTACTGTTAACCAACCGTTTAGTGGCATTTGAAAAAGACACAAATGCCCTGTGTCATCTAATTTTCTTTATCAACCATCCAAACATTGACAAAAAATTTAATAATCTCAAATCCGTGCCTCTTCTATTCAAGAAAGTTGGGGTCACCAAAATGCCCACTCAAATGTGACCCCAACTTTCTTTAATGGAAGAGGCAAGGATTTGGGATTGTTAATTTTTTGTCATGTTTAGATGGTTGACAAACAAAATTAAATGACACTTGAAGGGCATTTGTGTCTTTTTCAAATGCCACTTAACAGCTACTTAACAGTACGTACTGGGTTGCCACGTTTTGAAAGTTCGGGTACTGAATTATCACATTTTAAAGTTCAGGGACCAAAATGGCACTTGGCCCAAAGTATAGGGTAATAATTGGAAATTTTCCCTTTTTTTTGCCATTCTCTCTTAAAACCTAACTGACCGAAAAATATCTTCTTCGGCAATTTGTTTCTCCCCTTTCTCTCATACAATATTCAAACAGTTCATTTTCCCCTTTTTTCTGTCAACAATCGATAGAAATTCCCCAAGTCATTACAATCTCAAGAACAAGCGCATGCAATTATTCCCCAACGCCAGGTCCCACTGTATATCCGACTGATCTCATGTCGTTCATTGTGAACCTTTGCAAGAGAGTTGCCGTAAGGCCATTTATTCTACTAGAACACATCAAGTTATAGCAACTCCAATAACACAATTCAGACAAATATTCTGTTACTGTCTTCGACCAAACCACCTTCTCATCGTTGATCAACTTTCATCGTTGATCAACTCCGATAACTCAATCTCAACCCAGAACGTTGTCAGATTTCTCGTTATGGCCTTGGCTACAGCTACAACTACCATCTGAATATCCCTGGCCATGCATGTGGACGAGCATGGGAGCATTTCGGCTTGCTCTAGGAAATTGAGGAGAGCCTTGCATTACCTTCTTGGTGTCACTAGTATAGAAATGGAGACATTACCTGCTTGGTGTGAAGTTTAGAATCTTAACTGATCATAGGAGTTTGGGCTTCCTTTTGAAGCAAAGGATCCATACCCCAGTTCAATAGAGGCTTATCACCAAACTATTGGCCTTTGATTATGAGATAGTGACCCGGAAGGGAAGGGACAACATTGTGGCTGATGCCCTCTCTCGAAGAACTAAAGAAAAGCTATTGGCTATATCTCACCCCATTCCCAATTGGGTGGAAACAGTGAAGGTTGAAATGAGTAATGACCCTTATCTACAGCAACTCATCTCAGAATTACAGAAAGGAAAGTCCAGTCCAAAGAAGTTTGAATACCGAAATGGGCTTTTGTGGAGAAAGGGAAGAATAGTGATAAGCCCATATTCAACTATTAGAAGAACTGTATTTGAGGAAGCCCATGATTCCCCTTCCGGAGGATTTTCTGGGTACATCAACACACGATTCTGCTACTAGAAGGGATACAAAGCTGAAGTTAAAAAATGGGTCCAACAATGTAAGGTGTGTCAAAGAAATAAAACCGAAAATATGCACACTCCAGGGCTATTGCAACCACTTCCCTTGCCTGAACGGATTTGGATAGACATCAACATGGACTTCATAGGCGGGCTACCCCCCTCACAAAAGAAATCCTCCATACTTGTAGTGGTCGATAGACTGTTCAAATATGGACATTTCATAGCCATACAACACCCATACTCATCCCAAGACATTGTTAAGATATTCATCGAGGAGGTGTTCAGGATACACGGAATGCCAACATACATTGTTAGTGACCGAGATCCCATCTTCACCAGCACTTTTTAGGGAGTTATTTAAACTACAAAGTACAAAGTTGTGTTTAAGTTCGGCCTATCACCCCCAATCGGATGGACAAAATGAGGTATTAAACCAAACACTAGAGAGCTATCTGAGATGTTTTGCTGGCACTCACCCTCATTAGTGAGCCAAATGGTTAGCTCTAGTGGAATGGTGGTATAACACCACCTACCACTCAGCTACCAAGCTGACCCCATTCCAGGTTGTTTATGGCATACCACTTCCGAACCCCCTGACATATGTTCCTGGAATAGCTAAGGCTCAGTCAGTAGAAGAAGAATTGCTAGAAAGAGATAAAGTCTTCTCTCTGCTCAAGGAGAATCTCAATCATGCAAGAAACAAAATGAAAGTAATGGCGGATAAACACAGGAGTGAGAGGGAATTTGAAGTAGGAGACTACTGCTACCTTCGTCTCCAACCTTACAAGCAAAGTAGTTTGGCCCTAAGAAAGTCACAAAAGTTGGCAGCTTGTTTTTTTTGGGCCCTTCAAGGTGTTAGAAAGAGTCGGCCCAGTAGCCTATCGACTGGAATTGCCGCATGATTGCAAATTGCACCCCGCCTTTCTTTCTCATGTCTTAAGAAAAAATTGGGAGCCCATTGCCAATCCATGACCTCATTACCCCCTCTTGATGGTGCCAGAATGTTACTACCTTACCCTATCGCCATATTGGACAGAAGAGTTATCAAGAAAGGGAATCGAGTAGGAGTTGAGATACTGATCCGATGGAAGGGATCCCTTGCTTTTGATGCAACTTGGGAAGATTGGGATGAACTAAAGAACAAATACCCAGGTGCCCGCCTTGAGGACAAGGCTTGGAACAAGGGGGAGGGAGTGTTGGAGTGATATATATCCCAAAATATGCTACAACCCAGCCCACATTCTTGGGGTCCACTAAGCAGTATGAGCTTGTTAGCGGCAAGCCCAACTGATTCATGTAGAAGCACACGTCAAGCCTATGCCACCACCAGCCAACAACTCAAGAGGAATTAGTTCATTTTACAATTTTCTTTAAATAATATCAATTGTAATCATGTGGGATGTCAGGAGGACAAAAGAGTATTCAGACACCTGGCAGGTTGTTGAAACAACCTGGTATATTTGTATCCTCTCCTCCTTCGACGTGAATGAATTTGTTGAGTCCTTGTTTCCTTTGTTATCCTCTGGAGCGGTGAAAGCTCTCACTATAGCTCGAGGCAAACCACGAGCCTCTTCTCATTGACGAGAAGAGGTCGATAACATCTGATCCTCCCCACCTGAGTTTTCAACAAATGGTGTGACCTACTTTGTAACGTGACAATCCTCAAGTTTGACTGCGTCTATTGTTTGTACTTACCTAGACTGCTCAGAGCCAAGAACAGAGATCCCACGGTGATCAAGAAACAGTCACAAAGGAATTAAGACGAGAAAGATTTGTGCGTCACAGTAAGGAGGAATTAAAACACGACAATCTAATATTCGAACTTTCAATTTGTGACAATCTAATACCTGGCGTTAACTCATTATCACGTGACATCAGGTGCGATTTAAATATTTTTATAATGCGAACCTTTATAATAATATTCGGACCATTTTCTCCTTTATGATAATAATATCCCACTTTAACTATGCTTATACGTCCAACATGTCAACCGAATTTCTCCTTTAGGAGAGTACTAACTATTACGCATCCAAACCCAAAGAGAGTATCCATGTCACGTGCTTTTGATTTGGTAGCTTGTGAGATATGATTTTAATATTGTGCATGAGCAATGCTCTACTGTTTGATCATATTTTTAGACGATATTCAACTTATGATGTAAGGTTTTGACTAATTTGATCACAGAGGGTATGAATTACATGCATTGAAAGCTAGTGCTGAATCCGAATGCACCAAAACATGAATCTCACGAGATATGAAAGAATCAAAGAAGAGCAATACAAGATTGGAGAAATAATTTCTTGCCACTCCACTCCACACTGAATTGATGATTTTAATTTGGGTTAGGTATAGATATAGTCAATTCAAATCATTAGACTAAGGCCCCGTTCGCTTTTCGGTAAGTTACTTACCCAGGTAAATGTACTTACACGGGTAAGTGTTTCCCATGAAAGACTTACCTGGGTAAGTGCATTTACCCATGCTCTTTTATTTCCCATGTAAATAAGGCAATGACCATTTTAGCCATAAAAACCCATTATTAAAAAGGGCATTTTTGTCCCATTCAAAAATAGCGTAGGGTGATGAATATGGATCAATGTCAAAGATAGTCTAGGGTGATGAATTTCCTCTTGTCAAAGATAGCGTAGGGTGATGAATATGGATCAATGTCAACCCACCCAAGATTGTTGCACATAGCCCCACTACTAATACCACTACCACCAATATATATCGAACATTACCTTTCAATATGAAAATGCAAAATATTAACGGTTGCTTTTAGTACACTAGAGAGAGATCTGATCAGTTCTCCTCTCTCTCTCTCTCCCTCCCCCACTCTCTCTATCCCCCTCACTTTCCCAACTGTTTCTGATCATTTTATTTGAAAACTGATAAAAAAATATGATTAGAGCACCTCTCTCTCTCTCTCTCAAAATCAACCAGAAGTCAATGTAATATAATGGTAGTAAAAAAGCATAGAAAATGATAGGGAAAATAGCAAAAAAGCATACCTTGGTTGCTTCTTCCGGTGCTGACAACAAGAGGCCATCTTCTCCGGCAACAGTTGAGTTAAAAACAAGGGGTACCAACAACAGTTGTGATTTATTCTAACGATTTCTTCCAAAATACACGAAGAAGATCTTCATACGACGTTGTCTAGTGTGTGACTTGTCGACAAGGATTAAAATATTGATATGGGGTGCATCATATCAGTATAGTGGTAGCGGATACGGGATACGCTGCAACTAGCATTGTATCGTGCCAATCGTGTGTACTGCTACGTACCGTATTGGTGTGTATCGCACTGTATTGACCAATACATATCGATACATGCAATACACAAATATGCACGCAACTTCTATCCTAAAAAATGTTTCGTCTGACGCGATAAAAAATTATTTGTTAATTGATATTTTGATTTACACTAAATAATAAATATTTATTATTTATAAAAATAAAAATTTTGTTTACAAAATATTCAAGCATATAATATTATATTGAATCTATTAAATATACTACTTTAAATTTATATAAAAATGATTTATAATTTCAAAAAAATTATTGAAATAAAAGTGTTAATAATGGAATAATCATTTTAGTAATTAAAAATTATGTATTTACAATATTATATGCTTTTAAAAATTTTCATATATAGATATGAAATATTTTAATTTAACATTATATATTTTATAAATTATCAATTGATATTTTGATTTATATTTTATAATAACATATTTATTATTTACAAAAAATATATTGTTTATTAAATATTTCAAAATTTAATATTTGGTTGACTTTTTTCTATTAATGTTGAAAAGTAAATATATTAAAATAGAAAATAATTGATATAGTAATTAAAATATAATAGCATTTGTTTGTGTCTTAGAATTAAATAGAATATAACATAATAATTGTTTTATGCATGCATTAATTTATAAAGATCTATATAATATGAGCCTTAGACTCCTATTGATGTATTATTAATAAAGTTGTATGATATTTATGCATCCCATAATATTAATTGTAATATATTCCTTTATATATACTATTAAAATATATATTTTATGTATTTATATCTTATTTATGATTATTTTGACTTTAAAATTAGTGCAATTGATGTATTTACAAAATTTGTATATATTTTTATAACGTATTCATATATTTTTGTATCTTTCGCGTTTGTATACATGCATTTTCAAAACGTATCTATATCTAAATTGCCGGATACAATACTCAATGTGGATACTTTAATCATTGCTCGTCGATTTAAATTTTTATGACGTTGTATTCCGCTTCACCTCACTGGTGGGAGATCTTCGGAACTTCAGGACACGAGTGGGTGAACAGTGTAGTTCCCACTTGCAGAGAAAGGATGTTATAATGGGGGGCTTTTTCGTCATTTCGAAATACATTGATCGAAAATAGAGTAGTTATGTCTTTTTACATTCTAACTGACGGTAAATAATACTAGATTATTGCGTTTTAAAATTCGGATACCATGATAAAGTACAGATATTCCCAATATACGGCTGCATGGAGCTGTGAGGATGATATTGTACCAAAATTCGACTTCGCTGGCTAATCATACACCTTATATTTCTCATCTCTGGCCTTCTCCGCTCTTCGAATGAGCAACGCTTCGAAATAAAGAGAGTAACGGCAAAAGAGAAATACAGGAAAATGCAGGCGTTAATCTCAAATGTCTCCTGTTACTCCCACGTTTCGAGATTCCCTACGACTTTTCCCATTCTCAGAAACGATTCCTACGACACGAGGTTCCGCAGAACGACGATAAAAATCAGGGCCAGTTCAGATGGTGCTGATACACCGACGGCCGAGGAACGCGAAGGAGAGCTAGAAAGTCCAGACTCTAAAGAAGAAAGCAGGAATTCTAATCCATCATCTACAGCTCCTGCAATCGACAAAGACATCAAAAAGGTCAGTTTATTTCTAGAATTTGGTCATGCATTAGAATACCCTGTTCATATGATCATTTACTCTAGTATATTTATCGTTTTCTTTATTTTGGGTGAATCTTCAAAGCATTGAAATCGATCTGCCTTCTCCTAACTGAAAAGAATAAAATGTTACGGCAGTGCCATACCCATGCATGGAATGGTGGAAATAACAAGTGGTTTCTTTTACTGATATTTCTTTGCTAGAATCCTTGTTAATGTTTTACTTGTTTCACTAATTGAACAATTTATTTGGGCTTGCCAATTCTCCTTAATTGTCCTAGTTGAAAAAAGAATGAGATGCTTTAATTCTAAATTTGTCAAGCCATTTCAAATTAAATTGTTTCAGTGTTTCTTTTTCTAAAGAAGTTTCCCAAATGATGGTCCGGGCACCGGGCTAGTATGTTCATGTTTCTGCAAGGATCAAGTATACGCTGATTTAGTGTTTATGAATATCAAGAAAAGATAGAAGGAAGCTTTTAGACTAATTCGACACTTGAGCTTAGCATCCTTGACATAGGAACCAGCCTGCCTGTATCACCAAGTGCTACTCCTAACTCCTGTTAACACTCTGTGCTTAGGACATTCTGCAGACTACTCGACTGTATGGGTGTCAACTGGACTGGATTTGGTCCAACCCGATGAATATTTTGGACCGGTCCAATCCAATGTCTGGACCGTCCAATCTGTTCAAATTTGTTTTAACTTAGGTTGGTTCTAATCCAAACCCGATCCATTGACACCTATATTCTTATCTTCTATTAATGGACCAGATATTGGCTCAATCCAACCCAATCCATTATAAATTCATTATGGATGGACCAGGTCCAATCCAATCCAATAAATATTTTGGACCATTAAGTCTGGACTGGTCCAATTCTGTCTTGTTGGTCCATCCAATCCATCCAAATTGATTTTGGTTTGGATGGGGTCCAATCCAAAACTGGTCCATTGACACTCCTACTTGACTGATAAACCATGTTCAGTGTTCATAGCTACTTAGTGTAGAAAAATGAGAAAAAAAAGGAAAAATTACACTTCAAATCGAATTCTACTAATGCTAACCTACGCACTTTCCAAATGAATGGTCTGTTCACATCACATGGACATCCTAGTATACGATGATTGGCTATGAATTACCCAAATGTAATCAATCTAATTTGTGAGAACATTCTGGTCAGACCTTTCTATACAATACAGTGCTCCAGTTAACTTCAATAGATAGCCTTATTATGCAATACTACATAATGCACCTCATAGCCATCTATGATCTTTCAAGTTCTATGATGACAAAAACAAAGATCTAAAAACAGTTAACAAATAGAGAATCAGAAAACATAGCAACTCAAGAGCACACAGAAGATTTAATGTGGTTTGGCATTTGGCCTGTGTCCACAGGTGAAAGAGGAGCAGAAATCCACTATATCAGAAACAATGGAGTACAAGGTTGTTCAGCCTCATGCAAACCCTAGTGCCCAATACACCCCCAAAACTTTCTCTCTGTTTTATATGAAAAAACCTAGAAACATGATATATATACTGGACCTAAATACATAGTGGTTTGGGTCTGTACTCTGGGGGGGCAGAGCCCCTGAACAACCCAAGTAATCCATCCACACAGACCTCAATGAAATTTCCCCTTTCAGTTCTTCTCCACAAAGGTTGGGGTGGGTCATGGAGTGGACCGCATATAGAAATTCAAGGCGCAACTGAACAAGTTCTTTATATATAGTACACAAATGTGTGCCAAAGGTCTTCTATGCAACTAGGAACCCAATGGCAACATGCATATTTGTATTCCTGTAATAATGTTGATGTCTATTAAGGTTGTGATTGGTACCATTGCTGTTTCTACCTGAAATGTTTTGGGTTGATCAATATAAATTGGCATACAATTATTATTTGAGGCTATTTATGGTTTAAATAGGCATACCTTAAAAATGCTTGTGAGAGAGGCTGTTTCTAGAAACATCAAATTGGTGTTTCTTGCTCAGGGAGTTGAAGTCTAACCATTCTAGTTGAAATAACTCACATATGATGTGACAACACCTCTCTCACCATTTTGTATTGATCACCCAAAACGTTTTAGGTGGAAACAGCAATGGTACCAAACACAACCTAAAGCATACCAGCAAGCTCTAAGTAAGGATCACATATCAATATATTTATCCATTTTGAAAATGTCGATAACTTTATGCATTTCAACTCTCTTCATTCTTAATTCCCTTATAGGTTAAGTTTCAATATGTAAATGTTGAAAAACTCTTTTACCTTTTTAGTTAATCAATTTATTTATTGGAAATTAAATATTTCTTTACATTGGATGGAAAATCTGCCAACAAAATTTTAATTTTCAATTTGATTCTATGTACAAGAAACATGAGGAGCTTTGAACCAAATTTCAAGCATTTCAGGATTTCTTTTGAGCAAATTTGAAAGATTCAACGTTTTAATGTTTTAAATATCCACTTTCCAAGCTGTCTAAAATTTATATTATTGTGACAGAACTTTAAGAAGAATTTAATGTTTCATGATTTCTTTTGATTTTAAACTCAATCAAAATTTATGTTAACTGTTGAAGCTCAAGACCCTGAGTAAAAGGTCTTGTTTTCCCCTTCATTAATATTTTTTCCTGGCTCTTACATGATGCTCATAATCAGCATAATGGAGTGCCCATTCCTGCCTGAATAGCAGAAGTGGAATCATGTATAAACTGTGCTCCCAAGAATTAGGAGTGCAGTTAATAATTTTGTGTTTGCAATTCCATGTTCAGCAATTTAAAAATAGGCCCTTTGCATTCTCAAAACATTTGGTAAAATTAATGCTTCAGTACACATGTCTCTCTCTTAAGTGAGACTCATTGAGGCATTCCGAACACAAAGATATTTAAATTTGATATTCCAACTTTACACACTTTCCCTTAATTTCTGAAATTTGCTTTTGGTGGAAGTATTTGTGTAATTGACTTTTCTGTTTCCAACTTCTTGGTATGTGTATACATATAAACCGTTTCATCCAACAGGTTGTTCAAAAGACTGCTGCCACCTTTGCACCAAGGGCTTCCACTGCCACCAAGAACCCTGCAGTACCTGGAACGACTTTATACACAGTTTTTGAACTTCAAGGTTATGCATCAATGCTGTTCGGTGGGGTCCTTTCCTTCAATCTCATATTCCCATCCAATGAACCTGACATATGGAGATTAATGGGCATGTGGTCTATCTGGATGTTCAGTAAGTTAAGCTCCAGCTTGGTTCAATTTTATATCACTTACAAATCAAATAAATATATTATATATGCTTACCTGGTTGGCTCTTTCTAGTGCTCCAAGACATTGCTTTCTGCAGGAGGACCATTTAATTATTAGAAAAATTTTATTTATTTCTTTTTCACTTTTTAAATCTGTCCTGATTGGGCATTACCCAAATTGTTCATATAGGTCGAAGCATTTTATTGGTACATCAAGTTATATTGTTGTTGTAGTTTCTATTGACCTCCTTGTCAAACCTATTTTTCATTGCTACCTTGAGATCCTATCAAGTCCCAGCAAAAACTTTTTATAAGAATACCAGTTGGGTTTATTCTTTGCTGATCATTCTTCGTAAATGATGAACCGTAACTTAAAGAGTAGTTTATTCTACAGTATTGACTAGTCACTTTCTCGATGGTTGGTAGAGGTACTAGGTTTCCATTTTTCAATGAGAAGGTAGGTAATTAGACATAGAACCTGATTTCTGTACTTCAATCTGATGAAGCATTAAAAGCATTTCATTTTCCTGTTCTGGCAATCTTTTGGTGTTTCTAACCAGCTACAGTTTCCATGAATGAATGGCATATCTCTTGATATGCGTGGGGACATGTACACATTCACCCTCTCTTTTGGTGGTCCATTTTCAAGGAATAGTAGAAAACTAGTGGGACATGTATAGAACTATATGGCATGTAAAGATGCATATGCACGGTCACCCCCTCTTGGTGGTCAGTTCTTAATGGAATGGCAGTCAGCCCTCTTTTCCCTTAAGTGGTATGCCCTTTTAAGCTTCATGAGGTGACCATCAACATCAAACGTGGATCAAAATAAATAGAGATATTTAGCTGCTCTTGACTGGTAAGTTTCTTTTGTGCTCATTTCTGATTTATTCTTTGTGATTTTGCAGCAATCCCTTCCCTTCGGGCCCGAGACTGCTCAAAGAATGAGAAAGAAGCTCTCAATTATCTCTTTCTTCTCATCCCCTTACTCAATGTTCTAATCCCATTCTTCTGGAAATCCTTTTCAGTTGTCTGGTCTGCAGATACTATAGCATTTTTTGGAATGTATGCATGGAAGGTAAACTCCATTCTTTAGTTTGTGTTTGGTCTGGAAATCCTTTGCTTAGTTATTCCTGTTCTTAGTTTGTGTTTGGAAACGTTTCATTACAGCTCGGGTGGCTACAAAAAACAAAATAGGAGCTCGTTGCATCCTTTTGTGCTCATCTCAGGAGTTAAATGAATTTCTCCTGTTTGTTAATTGAAACCGACTTCCAAATCCATGATGCATCTCCAGTTGGATATAAATCACAATACAAGGCATGGAAATTCGCCTTCGCCCATGTAACCATCAAACCAGATGACCTGATCAGCTGCAAGAACATGGTTTTGGAGTCATGACAAGAGAAACAAACACTGTTCAGAGAGTGGTGGATATCTATTATCTTGTATCATATCTTATTCTGAGGGGGTTTGGCCAGAACGCCGGAGCTATATATATTATTACTTTTTGGATAACATGTACTGGGGTGCCAAATTCTGAGGAGTCATAATTTAATAGAGGATATGGCTCTTGATCAAGTGAATGACAAAACAGGATTCATATGGCCGATGCCAAATTGTTGGTATAAGATTTTGTTGAGTTGAATTGGTTGTAGACTTGTAGTAAGGCACCAATAACAAGTTACTTTTAAGTTTTAACCATAATTACCAAAACACATCTCATCAACTAGCTGCCCTTCAACCAAGTTAGAGAACCTCATGTCTGACAATCACATTGAGCAGAATCTCAGTTCTGTGCTTTGAAATCTCACTATTCTCTTCTAACTTCTCAACAGTAATAGTAGCAGTAAGGGGTATCTCGGGTCTGGGACAAGGTTAAAAGTATTGATACACCCCTAAACGGCACAAGGGATATCTTTAGTAGGGGTGCAAACGGATCGAATTCAAATCGAATCAGGTAATATCTAAATTTGAATTTGATTAGAAAATCCGATATCTGAATTAAATTGATATCTGATGGATATTGATAAATAATATTTGAATTTGATTAAATATTTAAATATTCGATTTGAGTTTGACCAATTAATTGTTTTAGTTAATAATAAATATATAAAATAAATATTTTATTTATTTAAAGTGTATTAATATATAAATTATTTATATAATTTAATTATTATTATATATAAATTATATAAAACATTTAAATATTTTATATATTATATATAAAAATTAAATAATCGGTCGAATTCAGATATTTATCCAATCGAATAAGGTCATATGCGAATTCAAATCCGGTTAGTTATTTGATATGAATAGGATATCCGAATTCGATAAATTAGACACTCAAATTATCCAAATTCGATTCGATTATATTGAATTTTGAATTCGAAATAGAATTTTTGAATACCGTTTGACACCCTAATTTTTAGCTTTTGGTTAAATCGGTTTAATATTTTTCATTAATCGACTCTTAACCCATTTTGGTTTATATTTCATGCACGGAGAATTCGCCTGAGTTCCTGTTTCTTTTCAAGCATCTTCCTCCCTTTTTCTTGGTTTATGATGGTGGCTTAGATCAGTCTCTCTCTGCCCCTTTCTCCATCAATTCTTGAAACCTACAGTGTAATGAAGCCAGTCCCAGGCCCTCTCCCAAAGCCCCCTCACCAAAAACAGGGTACAATCACAACTGACCAAGCCCGCTGCCGAATCAATCCACAATTACCCATCTTTCCCAGTCGCCCACTGTAATGGTATTGTTCTTCACCGTTGTCTTTAACCATTCTTCAAAATTTCAAAATATTACTCTGACAGTTGAATTTAAACCACATATTTTTTTGGTAAAGAAAATGGCATGAGAAGGAGAAAAAGAAGAAGAGGAAAGAACAGGGAAAATTAGAAAGAAAATGTCAAAAATAAACTGATCATAGAAATCTCCTTGATGGTCACCATATAAAACAGATGGTGAAGAGGAGAAGGCAAAATTGGGTTTTAAAATATAAAACAGTCGCATGCTATCACATGTCAAGGGAATGTAATGGCGTGCTGACGGAAGACTGTATGTTTTATTGTTAAAAAAACTTGTGGGTCCCGAATAGATTATTGAAACTAGAGGGTATCAGTATTACTTAGTCCATCTCACAAAACCTATGGCTATGGGTACTTTTAAGTATTTTACCAAACAATTGTCTATAGGGTAAAATATTTAAATTATATTAAGTTTTAGTCCCTACTATTTGAAAAATCCCTTGAAATACCTCAAGTTATGGCCATTAGACATTGTTGGAAATGACAAAATGTTGATTTTGTCCTTCATTATTCTTTAAAATGAAGTACCTATATTGAGCATCTCTGTACAAGGTTCGAAATTTCGATATGTATCAATTGATATGGGCCTTCCCAATATGCCCCTGTAGGGGGTGTTTCGGGTCGGTGAATGGTTCAGGAGGTAAACCGGCCTTAAATTGGCCCCTATGAATCATTCAAAAAATAAAAAAAATAAATAAAAATAATACCAATACAAGCCGATATGCCCTACCAACGTATCACCCTGTATCAATATTTTGAAAATTGTCTCTGTATACGCCCACCATCGCCATTCACCACCACTTCCTTCTCTGCTTCTAGGAATCCAGTTGATAGAACAACTCCCCCCCCCCCCTTTTGGAAAATAGGTGCACCGTGAACGGTGTAATAAGCCAATGATGATCTCAGTTGGTATAGAACTAAATTGGTTTAGGCAGGTGGTGAGCTGAATTTCACTGCAATTCCTTCGGGCTTCGCAAATTCAAGCAGCAGGTAAGGATTACACTCACCTTGTGGTGTAGGTTGCATTCAAGAGTGGAAACTACTAGTGGCACTTCAATAGGATTTGTATTAGGTTGGGTGGGGTCTCGATGAAAGATTAGGGGTGTAAACAGATCGAATTTGAATGGGATCAGGCAATATCCGAATTCGAATGTGATTAAAAAATTTGATATCCGAATTTGATTTGATATTCAATGGATATTGAAAATTAATATTCGAAATTGAATCTGATTAAATATTCAAATATTCAATTCAATTCGAATTCGACTAATTAATTATTTTAGGTAATTAATAAATATTTTATTTATATAAAATATATAAACTATTTATATAATTTAATTATTATATATATAAATTATATAAAACATTTAAAAATTTATATATTATATATAAGAATTAAATAATCGGTTGAATTCTGATATTTATCGAATCGAATTAGGTCATATCTGAATTCAAATCCGATTAACTATTTGGTAAGAATAGGATATCCGAATTGACCAATTAGATATTCGAATTATCTGAATTCGACTCAATTATGTCAAATCTCGAATTCGAAATTGAATTTTCAAATACCGTTGGCACCCCTGTGAAAGATTCCATGGGTGTAGGAAGATCAATAAAGCTAGCTTGACTAAAATATTTTCAACTATATCTTCTTTCTTTATCATTTGAATATGATAATAAATGCATAGAAGGAGATTTAGAAAACTTACACAAGGAAGAAACTTTGTAGTTTAGACAACATCAAGGACTTTCATGAACCCAACTCAATTTCTCCATTGATAAGAAAACAAACCTTTTTGGGTAAATTACAAAGGTCCCCGTTACTATGGGGTCAGTGACAAAGGCCCTCTAAACTTTAGCCGTTAGACAAAGATCTCCCTTCATTAGATTTCTATCAATTAACTTAAAAAAGATTCTTATCGGACTGTTTAAAGTTTTATAAATACCCAAACTATCCTCTCTTCTCGTTCAATGTTGTAGTGGCCCTATTACATCTCATCTTTCACGATAAAAACCCCGTAGTCAAGCTGGTTGTCGGTGCCATGATAGAATTCATAGTCAGGCCTAACTCCGGTGCTAGTGCAACAAGACCAGAGCTTCGGATCTTTGTGATCATTTCTTTTGTTCTTCTCATTTTACGTTTTCTTCTCCGGTGACCTTACCAGTTTCTTTTGGACAAACTGAAACCAGTCCGATAACCAGTAGTGCCCCCAACTAGAGAGCAGCTATTTACATTGGTCTGAGCACTTCAGTTGGTATCTGAGTGTTAAATGGTGCTCAGTTGCAGGCCACGTTGTCATGTCCTACCAGCAAGCTTGTATTCCTTGGCTCCAAGAGATCAAATTCGTTTCAAGACAAACTTTGTTGCCTAGGGAACTCATCTCAATTTCAACTTCAAGAGTTAGGGGCAAGGTCCAGTGGACTTCATGGGAGTTTGATTGTTCATTAAAGGGGAAATCTTTCTCAATCTGACGAGCCATTCAAGCGGTTTTATTCAATAAAAAAGAAACTAATCTTTCTACATCTCCAAAGGGTGGATTGTGCCTAAAATTGAATAAGGGATTCTAACTGATCAGGACAACTTTTGGGCCCTAATATCAATAAAAATAAACTTTTTTACATAATTTTTACAATAGTCTAACTTTTATTTCAAATATCAAATAGGGGCAGAAATACTGTTCATCTCCTTCTTCCTCCGGACCATCAAATAAATCTTCCCACCTCTGTTCTCTCTCTCTCTCCCTTCTCTACATCTGAATTTTTCCAAACTCAGAGCAGGACACTCCCATTTCTTATTAATTTCTTCCCCTGAGAAAAATGATCAGAGAGACAGAGAAGAAAAATGATCAGAGAGACATAGGGAAACTGCATGTTTCAATTCGTGGCATCGGAGGTGTACATGAGATGATCAAAGTGGTAACATCTAACAGCGGCATCATGGAGCTATACGCACCCATCACCGTAGAGTGCATCACCAACGAATTTTCAGGCTATGGCATATTCCGGAGCCGCAATCTCTTCTCTCAACCACTCATCCACAATGAAGAGCTCCTCTCCAAAGACTTATACTATCTACTAGCTCTGCATGCCGGGAGAGGAGCCCGAATCACCAGACACGGTGACCTCAGACCAAATGGATCTCTCTCCCTTCTTATTCTTTTCCATTTTTGTTTTGCATCAAACTAGTAACTATAAGGGTGAACAAAAAAGTAAAGATCTGTGATCAATATTTATTAATATTTGGGGAGATTTGTTTGATGATTTGGAGGAGGAAGGAGATGAATAGTATTTCTGTCCCTACTTGATATTTTTCAAAAAAAAGTGAGCCTATTTCAATAATTATATTAAAAAATTATTTTTACTGATATAGGGCCCAAAATTGCCCTTATCAGCTATAATCCCAATGAATAAAGTGGTTTTGGTCCATAGTGGTGGTTCGGATACCTCAGTTATTGTCCCATGGCTAAGGGAGAATTATGGCCATGAAGTTGTTAATTTGTTTCACTGCAGATGTTGGTGAAGGCATCAAGGAACTAGAGGGTTTAGAAGCAAAGGCTAAAGCTAGTGGAGCATATCAATTAGTTGTTAAGGATTTGAAAGAAAAATTTATGAGAGATTACATATTTCCTTGTTTGCGAGATAGAGCAATTTATGAAAGAAAATACTTGCCTGGAACTTCCCAACCTGTTATTGCTAAGAACATGCATGGTTAATGTTGCAAAAGAGGTTGGAGCAGATGCTGTTTCACATGGATGCACAGGGAAGGGAAATGATTAGTCCTGTTTAAACTAACTTTTTTGCTTCAAATCCTAAACTCAATGTTGTGGCTCCATGGAAAGAATGAAA